AAGAGGGATGTGTGGAAATTGCTCAATACTTTGCAGTACACGTGTACGTTTATCCACTTTGAGTAGCTCTTGGAATGTCTTCTGATATATGTAAATTAGCATTGCATATACATTTTGGGTCATGCGAATGTTAGCCCCTTATAGGTATCTGTGTGGGTGTGTATTTATTTTAGCGGTTCTTGTGTCACAGTAAGGATCCCTTTACCACTGCCATAAACTGTAACTACGAATTGGAAACTGTTTTTTGAGTGACCTATGCTAGAACAGGATTCGAACCCTGAGCCTAATATAGGTATACTGTCACTCTAACTGACTGAACTACATGGTAAACGGAAGAGTCCTGGCCGAAATGTGCTACAGTTATATCAAAAACGAAATTAAGGGGAGGTAACTCTATATGCAAAAAATATGGTGCAGGTGGACAGGAATCCTTAAACGAGTTTGTAGAAATGTATCGCTCTTAATGGTTTGTACGAATGTTTCCCCACTTATGGCGATTTGGTTGGATGTGTATCAATGTTTGGCTATGCATGTCAACGTTTATCCACATATAGTGAAATGTGTTAATCAACCTCTAATAGTGTATGTGAAGGCCTCCTCTTCAGCAGTACGCAGAGTATCCAAATTCGGATCAAGGTTGCTGTTTTTTTGTAGCGAGTATAAATTTTCGGCCCGAGTGAAATCAACTGTCAACTGTTTATGTGCTTGCTCTCCAGCATAGCTGTCTGCTTCTCCCTATGACGTCATTGTTTCAGTAATGGTAAAATCACGATGCCAATTCCCTTCGAACGTTAAGTGGTTTGCGGTTAGCAACTAAAGGGTATACCGCCTTTAGCAGTGCATAAAAATACTCATGCGCGGTATTTAGTAGTACTGTAAATAGAAATATTAACAGCCTTCCAGCGGTAAAGATTGATGGCTGTCTGTTTGAAAATTTAGATGTTCATCCCTCTGGTAGTAAATGTGGCTATTTGTGATCTCCTTCATAGTGCATTTGGATGTTGTTTTAGAGGATCCCTGTATCGATGTATTGTGGTTTTTCCTATGCAGGGTTGCCAACCCTTAACTTCCGATTGTACATGTATATAGCCTAAGTGTATCACAATTGTGCGGGGACACATCTGCTAACCAATTAGCGTAATCGGTTTAAGCGATAGAATAGCATTCCAAATTCCAGGGTTTGCATCCGCGACTGGCACCGTTGATTTTTTACACGTTTTTTTATTATTGCTTTCTTTTCCGAAATGATTTGTCGAAGAAATAGTCGTGTCGGAAAAACCAGTTTTCAACACTTAGTTACAGTTTTGGGCAGTGGTACCGGAACCCTTAAGCATGGTTATCCTTTGATATGTTAACGAGTATCCTTCTCTTACCGGGTGATGTGGTGTTCGACCCCTTAAATGTGGATGTTTATCCCCTATAATGGTTTATATTGATGTGGATGTTTATCCCCTATAGTGGTATATATTGATGTGGATGTTTATCCCCTAAAGTGGGTTGTATTGATGTGGATGTTTATCCCCTAAAGTGGTTTATATTGTTGTGGATGTTTATCCCCTATAGTGGTGTATATTGGTGTGGATGTTTATCCCATATAGTGGTGTATATTGATGTGGAGGTTTATCCCCTATAGTGGTGTATATTGGTGTGGATGTTTATCCCATATAGTGGTGTATATTGATGTGGAGGTTTATCCCCTATAGTGGTGTATATTGGTGTGGATGTTTATCCCATATAATGGTTTATATTGATGTGGATGTTTATCCCCTAAAGTGGTGTATATTGATGTGGATGTTTATCCCCTATAGTGGTATATATTGATGTGGATGTTTATCCCCTATAGTGGTGTATATTGATGTGGATGTTTATCTCCTATAGTGGTGTATATTGATGTGGATGTTTATCTCCTATAGTGGTGTATATTGATGTGGATGTTTATCCCATATAATGGTTTATATTGATGTGGATGTTTATCCCATATAATGGTTTATATTGATGTGGATGTTTATCCCATATAATGGTTTATATTGATGTGGATGTTTATTCCATATAGTGGTGTATATTGATGTGGATGTTTATCCCATATAGTGGTGTATATTGGTGTGGATGTTTATCCCATATAATGGTTTATATTGATGTGGATGGTTATCCCATATAGTGGTTTATATTGATGTGGATGTTTATCCCCTATACCGGAACCCTTAAGCATGGTTATCCTTTGATATGTTAACGAGTATCCTTCTCTTACCGGGTGATGTGTTGTTCGACCCCTTAAATGTGGATGTTTATCCCCTGTAATGGTTTATATTGATGTGGATGTTTATCCCCTATACCGGAACCCTTAAGCATGGTTATCCTTTGATATGTTAACGAGTATCCTTCTCTTACCGGGTGATGTGTTGTTCGACCCCTTAAATGTGGATGTTTATCCCCTGTAATGGTTTATATTGATGTGGATGTTTATCCCCCATAGTGCTGTATATTGCTGTGGATGTTTATCCCATATAGTGGTGTATATTGGTGTGGATGTTTATCCCATATAATGGTTTATATTGATGTGGATGGTTATCCCATATAGTGGTTTATATTGATGTGGATGTTTATCCCATATAATGGCTTATATTGATGTGGATGTTTATCCCCTATAGTGGTGTATATTGTTGTGGAGGTGTTTCCCCTATAGTGGTTTATATTGATTTGGATGTTTATCCCCCTTTAGCAGTTTTTGATAGATGTGGATATATTCCCCTCTAGCGGTTTATATTGATGTGGATATTCAACCTATTTAGCGGTTTACATAGAGGTGGATATTTGTTTTCTTAATATATTTATATTGATGTGGATATTTATTTTCTTTAGCGGTTTATATTGATGTGGATATTTATCCTCTTTAGCGATATGGATATTTTCCCTCTTTAGCGGTGTTAATTGGTGTGGATATATAACATCTTTGGTAGTTTATATTGATGTGAATAATGATCCCATTTAGCTGGTTCGATTGATGTGGGTATTTATCCCTTTTAGCGGTTTATATTAAAGTGGATATTTCCCCCTCTAGCTTTTTTATAGATGTGGATATTTATCACTTTTAGCGGATGTGGATATTTATCCGCTTTAGCGTTTTATAGTGCTGTGTCCATTAACCCCCTTTAGTGGTGTATGTTCATGTGTATTTTATACCTTGCACGTTTTTCATTATCGTGTTCATTTTTAAACGTTTTATTCGTTTTAATTTGTTAGCAAAGCTTTCTATTATTTATGTTAACGACAGTGTGCGGAGAGTAATCGGCTTGTGTTTCCTGCTGTGTATGGTTGAGATTGTAGTTCTCCCTTCGTGTCTAGATGTCTTAACACCGTGGTAAACACCGCCGCATCGACAAAATCATCAGAATTCAATTTCAGATTGATCGACCTCTGAAAACATCAACGCATGGTTCTGGCACGTTAAAGAGGAGATTTTACACAAACGGTGTCTTCCAAAGCGAATCTGCGGATAATGGCTGTTTGGTTATAAATTTCTACTCGCGAGGAGTGTCGAAAAAACAGTTATATCTCCATGATCCTTGTAAAACACTTGAACACGCACACATCTCTTACTACACAGGCTGGGTGTTACGTAAATAATAAGTGCATACTTGCCAACACTTAACATTGGCACGCTAACCAAATCGCTAGCACATAAATATCGCTAACCAACTGTCAGAAAACGCCGGTCAAAATCAGTCAGCATGCCAGTTGGAAATTTAAGTATTATCATTAGGTGCGACCTCGTTTGTATAACACAAATGTAATAATCAGATGTAATCACCAGGTGTAGCAACAAAGTGTAATAACCAGGTGTTATCCTGAGGTGTTACATGTATCACCAGGGTTATTTACAATGTGTTATCATTAGATGCAATACCGAAGTACAGTCTCTAGTTGTAACAGTCAAGTGTTATAACCAGATGTTATCATAAAGCGTAAACCATAGATAAAACATTTAAGTGTAATAACCAGGTGTTATCACCAGGTGTAACAACCAAGTGTAATAACCAGATGTCATCATGAGGTGTTATCACCAGGTGTAACAACCACGTGTAATAATCAGGTGTCATCATGAGGGGTTATCACCAGGTGTAACAACCACGTGTAATAACCAGGTGTCATCATGGGGGGTATCACCAGGGGTAACAACCACGTGTAATAACCAGGCCTCATCATGAGGGGTTATCACCAGGTGTAACAACCACGTGTAATAAACAGGTGTCATCATGAGGGGTTATCACCAGGTATAACAACTACGTGTAATAACCAGGTGTCATCATGGGGGGTTATCACCAGGTGTAACAACCAGATGTCATCATGAGGTATAAACACCAGATATTTTCATGAGGTGTTATAACCAGGTGTTATCATGAGGTGTAATCACCAGGTGTTATCATGAGGTGTAATCACCAGGTGTTATATCCAGTGATAAGTAATTTACAAATATCATATTTTACAGCTTGTGTGGCCTATAAAAAGGAAGTGAGTCTAGAGCAAATTGGCATAGACTACTTTACGGCTATTTAATTTGCAGGAAGCTTATAGGTCAAAACATAAAAATGTATGAATGCTTCAGGTAACATGGCAGAAAAAAATGTTCATAAATCAATATAATGATATGTACATGTATCAAATTTTACATTGAAGTCCCACACAATAATATTAGCTATTACGCTGTCAAGAAAGGGAGCAGGCTCCCCAAACTGGCACAAAGTACATTATAATGATTTACTGTGAGCTTTGTCTGGATAAAAGATAAATCCTGGATACAAATAGATGATAAAATGTTCTAGGGTCGGCAGGGAAATCTAGTGTAGGTCGGGATACCTGATACACACAGTTTTTATTTTTATGTTTTTGCTATACTAATCTTCATCATGCAAAGCAAACTACCAAGTCTACATTCAGTTCTCAATTTAATCGATTTAATTTGCATATAAACTTCAGTAATTGCTGATTTTGTTTATTGGCAGGTTCCCGCGCCCCGCCTCCTCCATATTTAGAGGCGCTGGCCTACCCTCTGACAGCGATAACCAAACCGACAGATAACGAAAAGGATACGGAGGAAAACACCGAACTAAAAAAGTGTCCAGAAATTCAAGATGGCGGAACATCCTTATACCCAATTGCTCTGTTGTCAAACACATCACGATCTAACAGTGTGTGTTCTGGATGTAGTGGGGTACGGTCAAACTCACCCCTCGTGTGTCACGTGACTACTGACCATCCACTCTCGTGCAGAGGCTCTTGTGAGTCGTGTGTGCAAGAGAGTTCGGATGAAGTGACGTCATTCATGTCGAAAAAGCAGTGTCTTAGTCACAATTCCATAACGTCAAATAAACTGACGGGATCCCCGGGGTCCTTACAGACTTGTCGATCCTACTCTCCCCAGCCTGGCCCCAGCGGCTACAATGGGAGCAAGGGCAAGGGGCGGGCCAGCTCCACCGTCAAATTTATTAACGGAGCTGGGAACTACAAAACGGGTGCTACAAGTGACAGCTCTGATAATATATACTCTACTAATTGTACAGTAAGTATTCTACTTCTCTACCACCGGGAAATTCCATTGCAGAAATACGAGTACCGCATTCTACTGCAGTACTATACTCCAACATCGTATTCAACGTCAGTATAACACTTGTGTTATACGCTTTACCATTCACGTATGTTCATATTGAGTGGATCTTGTTTTGTACGCTACACAACACACCACATTTGTATTCATCGTCGATATGAAGCTTATTTTGTACGCTATGTAATATATGCTGCATGTGTGCCCACTGTCGATGTGAAGCTTGTCTGTATACTTCACAACACACAGCATGTGTATTCATTGTCGGTACGAAGCTTGTGTTGTACGCATTATAACACACAACATGTGTTAGTCATTGTTAGTATGAAGCTTGTGTAGTACGCTTTATAACACACAACAAGTGTATTCATTGTCAATACGAAGCTTGCGTTGTATGCTTCACAACACACAGCATGTGAATTTAATGTCGATTTGAAGCTTGTTTTTTATGCTTCACAACCGATAACATTTGTATGTATGCATTGTCAGTGTGAGCCTTGCGTTGTACGTTACAATACACAGACTGTTTTGTATTCATTGTCGGTATGAAGCTTGTGTTTTATGCTTCACAACACACAGCATGTGTATTCAATGTCGGTATGAAGCATGTATTGTATGCTTCACAACACATAATATTTGTATGCATTCATTTTCAGTATGAAACTTGCTTTGTACGTTACGATACACAGACTATTTTGTATTCTTTGTCAGTACGAAGCTTGTTTGTACGTTATATAACACATTGTCGGTAGGAAGCTTGTTTTGTACGTTACAATACAGAGAACATGTGTATTCATTGTCAGTATGAAGCTTGTTTGTACGTTATAACACATTGTCGGTAGGAAGCTTGTTTTGTACGTTACACAACACATTGTCGGTAGGAAGCTTGTTTTGTACGTTACGATACACATTGTCGGTAGGAAGCTTGATTTGTACGTTACACAACACATTGTCGGTAGGAAGCTTGTTATGTACGTTACACAACACAATGTCGGTAGGAAGCTTGTTATGTACGTTACACAACACATTGTCGGTAGGAAGCTTGTTTTGTACGTTAC